GTAATTTGGCATTATTAAAAAAATGTCGTCAAATTGAATTTCCACAGGGTATGAATTATCACGACTCGGCGTGATGTCGCATATACGTACGTTTTAGAGGCTCCAGTAAATTTTGCACAAATATCAATTTGTGTGGTGTGAAATCACAGCCATCTAGCACCAAAAATGATTACGGTTGTGGAAATAAAGGCTGTTTGTGAATGTCGTAATGGTGATTCATAAATTCTTTAGAATGTCTGAACAGTCACAAGGCGAATTGTACAAGAAAGCGGAGGGACCCTCGATTCGGGATACAACACATTGTTGGTAACTGTTTTGGGAAGGCCAAGGCATAAGCGCAAAGCTTCTCTTTCCAGAAGAATTAGGGCCACAACTTGGAAGCTGGAACTCCAGAGAAAAGTACACAACCAAATTCCAAAATAGGATGAACGTACATGCGATAGATCATTACCAATGTGCCTCTTCTCATACCTATGCGGTAGTTGCTTAGCCTACGTAATATGCCAATGGCTCGCACACCTTTTCCGGCAATATACTCGATATGAGGTCGCCAGTTAAGCGATGTGTGATAAATTACTTCAAAGTATTTAACAGATTCCCCCTGTGGTATATCCTCATGATGGTAATACAGAGAGGTGCACACAGGGTATTGTAGCGGGAAAACAAGGAGGGCACGTTTACTCGGAATTAAGTAGAAAGCCGTTGCCATCAAGCCAGCTCTCCAATATATTAAGCTAAGTCTGCAGCCGTTCATATAGAGTCTGAGTGTTATCTGCCATTACAAAAAAAACGCGATATCATCTGCATACACATAAGTTGTTATATCCTGTGTACGTGGAATGGTGCTCATTGGTAAATTAAATAGCACCGAGGAAAGCACTGAGCCTTGCGGTAGTCCTCTCATTTGTGTATGAGTAGATGATAAAAACGCATCTTTAAAACAATAAAATTTTCTGTCTGCAAGAAAACTGTGAACCCACGCTACTGTGTACGATAGAAAATCAAGGTATTCTAATCGATCTATTAAAACACAGTGCTCCACGGTATCATATGCTTTAGCGATGTCTGAGGTAACTAAAGCTGCAGATTTGTTATGTAGCTGAGTTAATTGAAGCCGACCTTTTAAATCAACGTGGGCATCCCAAATTGAACAACCAGCCATGAACCCAATTTTAACAGGGGCTTAGAATTGACCTCACGGCAATAAGTTCATTATTTCGTATATTGATGATTCTCTCAACCAATTTCCCTAAGTTTGATGTCAGTGTGATCGACCTTATTTTATCCAACATGTATGCTTCATTTTCATTTTTTAGCAACGATACAATTTTGACAAGTTTCCATTCTGGAGGTATCCATGCGTTCTCTAACGAATAATTCACTATTTCTAGCAAAATAATTGGCGATTCCTGAAGTAAACATTTTAACATAGAGTTCTTAATTCGATCTGGTCCGGGAGCTGTCCTCGGTAAGTATAGTACTGTCTGACTCAATTCAGCTAAAAAACCTTCTGAAAATTTGTGCATGTTTACCAGAATGGAACTAATAGCCGAAAGATTAGCAGTAAAGCGGCGTTCTAAACCTTGCGCTATGCCTTCTAGAGAGGTGTTCATTTCTTGCGGCGTCAAGACACATGACTGCAACGTTAAAGGTGCTGGCAGTACTTTTCTCTTTAAAGATAAGCGAACAAAGCATGTTTATTTTTCGATTTAGAAAGATAATCGAAATGTCTACTGTCTTATTCTTCTTTCGCGCGGTTTGCTGTAGGCTTAATTACGTCAGCAAGGAATTGATAGTCCTTCCAGTTTGTGGGGTTTGATTATGAAGAAGTTTTTTCCAAGTGGCTTTTCGTCTTCTATAATCGCGCGTACACTCATCGTTGCACCAACGAGAGGAGGATTGCTTATTCAACGGAATAGAAAATTTGGAATTTTTTCTAGATCCCTTCAGCATTGAACCAATCGTAGATGCGATGTCCTTAGCACTAACATTTCGAAGCTTAGAAATGGCAGAACGGAGGCAGGCTTGAAATTTGCTATGGTTGATGTATGTGCGTTTTCGCGGATCTAAACTTATCGTTGGACAAGTAGTACCAAAAGCTACAGGAAGATGGTCGGTGTTAGTTGCCGAATCCAGCACAGCCCATGACAAAGACTTGATTACATTGGAGCAAAACGTTAAACCTAACACTGAGCAATTCTGACCTCGGACAAATGTTATATAACCTTATTCAGTACACGAGAAGCTGTGATCAATAGTGAATTCCCATCTTCGCCTACCACAAGAATCTGTCCTTATACCCCAAGACAAATGATGTGAATTTGAATCCTGTGAGTACAATTTCCTTTCTACATGCTACCAAAACACTGTCAAGATAACGCGTACTTTGCTCACCGGAGGGGAAGTAACAATTTAAAATTTACCAAGGGTGGTATCCCGAGAGACACAAGTCTAATGCTAATATTTCACAATCCTGAGTCTAACATTCTGAAGAAAATTTTCGCCATATGGCTTAATTTACTTGATACAGGGATCATTAAACCACCTACCACGTGATGGGCGATCTAATCGAAAATAACGAAAACCTGCAAGATGGAAATTTTTATCTGGTGTAAGCCAAGTTTCTTGGAGAATCACAATATGAACATTAAAATTATTGCAAAAGTAATGTAAGTCGGTTGAGGCTGTGACTATAAAACGGCAGTTTTACTGTAGTACCTCAATGGACCTATGCTGTTGAGCGCACCACACAGGCACATGCCGCGCCCTTGTTAGCATATTCACGCGAAATAGCTGATTCATTCCGTTTGGATTTGGACTTGAGATCGGTGAATATAGGGGATCTGGTACGTTTATTAGTTCGTATATCGAGTTCCATATGCGTTGTAGTTCTTGTGTTCGGCTGAGGCTTATGTCGGTCCAAGCGCAGCTGTTTTCCTGACTGCTTAACCTTGCCTGCACAAGCAGAAAGTTCGTCCAACACTACATTGCGTAGCTGAGTGGCATCACTGGTAAAGTCCGGTATTGCAGGTTCTGTACTCGTCAGTACTTTTTTCTTAATCTGACTTGAAAGAATTTGCACAAAGCAGTCAGAAAGGTATGATATGAGTTTATCCATCGCTTTACTCACTGCCTTTTCCACGGCAGTTTCAATAGCCTACGATAGATTTCAGTCTATACTGCAAGTGTAGCGCGCTGTAATGCCAGAGTATCCAAAAGCCCTGTCTCTAACTATGTCAATGTCTTCCTTTAGAGAACAGCGGTGGCGGGCAATAACTTCTGAGATTTGAACCTCCTGGGAACAAGCGGAACAGTCAGAGGTGTCGGCGCAGTGACTCCCACCACAGAGACAACACTTTTCCGCTGTTGCAGTACACTTGCTTGAAGGATGGGTCTCTCCACAGGTGCTACAACGAACGTTAGATTTACATCATCCCGCACTGTGGCCGAATCTCCACCAGTTTCGCATTGAGTCGGGCGAGAAGCAAGGGGTTCTACTCGGAAAATTAGTGGCCATAATTTTATTTCTGACGGGCATTTTGTGCCCACAAATGTCGCGATGACGGATTCGGTTGGTACCCTCTCTTTGTCTACTAGGCGATTACATCGGTAAATTGAAATTACGCCTGCTTGAGAGAGCCTGTCAAGGGTCTCAGCTGGCACTCAGCTTGGAGTAGACTCCCCGTAAAAGGCCTTTGGTACATGCAAGGTGAGGCGGAATGAAATCACTCACTGGGGTAGCAGCAAACTAGGTGCATTTGAGAAGATCCTGCGCGCAGGTCTGATACGGCGAACTACAGACGATATCTCCTCACCCAAATGGGCACACAGTCTGTAAATGGTTTCAAGTGGTTTTAAGTTCTTTTTGGACCATCTGAGGGTTCGTAAGTCTGATGAAGCCTCAATTTGTGCGTACCAGTGCCATGGGGAATGCTGTCAATACCAATGCGGAAAAAGGAGTCTAGCGGCGAATTCATTAGGTGGCAGGGACGCTCACCAGCAGAGGTAGTCGACATGAGCACTAGAGATAGCGTTAGACTCAGAAACAGATAAACTAGAGAAACGCACTCTAAGACAGCAAAGTTAAAACAACCCAATCCTCAGCCAAGAACACCCCAGATTGAAAGCTGTTGTGTTAGCGGTTTTAAGTTCCTTTTGGACCGTCTGAGGGTTCGTAAGTCTGATGAAGCCTCATTTTGTGGGTACCAGTGCCAAGGTAATGCTGCCGATACCAATGCGGAAAAAGGAGTCTAGCGGCAATTCATTAGGTGGCAGGGACGCTCACCAGCAGAAGTAGTCGACATGAACACTAGCGATAGCGTTAGACTCAGAAACAGATAAACTAGAGAAACGCACTCTAAGACAGCAAAGGTAAACCACCCAATTCTCAGCCAAGAACACCCCAGATTGAAAGCGGTTATGTTAGCGTCTGCAGTGTTTCATGGCTGCTCACGCTTGTTGTCACCATGCAGCTCCCGCGCACGAAGATGAGAAAGTGCGTTAACCTACGAGTCTCAGGAAAAACAAAGCCAAGCGTTGGTCGATGTGGCACAAATCACGACGAAGCCAACGACTGGTTGAAGCCAAATTGGCGTCCACAAGGTGCGGGCGTGTGCACGCCTAGTCTACGCAGGTGGCCGACCACGAGCAATGTTTGCAGGGTGACCACGTGAGAGCTTTTTGGAATTTGGTATGGAGCCATAGCCTCAGAAAGACACCCGTCTGGTCATACGCAACAGGAGGCGTCAGCGGCGCGTGGTATCGTCATGAGCCGGGGGAAAGTGTAGAAAGCATTGTGTACAGTGCTGTAGAATTTTTGCTTTAGGTAATCATGGGTGCTTGTACAAGGCTCGTGGCAAAGATAATTGCTTTTATCTTCCAGAAGCTTGGCTTTCATGTGGGCGAGCACGTGCTGCTGTACGCGCGCATCGGTGATCGCATGGTGATGAGGCCTGTACACACCCGTCAGCCGCGTTGACCGCCGCGGCAGCTTCGACATCATGGTCAAGATCTACCCGGCGGGCGTGTCTAGGAAGTATCCCAATGGTGGCCTCATGAGCCAGTACCTGGACAGCCTCAAGCCGGGAGATAAGATACAGGTACGTACGTGTACCCACTCAAGCCTCGTGGCAGCATTGAAACAGAACGTAGGCACGAAGCGGACGGTTAAAATATAGCCACTTTTATTTAAGTCTGAACTCCCCACAGCTTCGCGCTTCAGGAGTTGAGGCGAAATACGCTGAGAAAATGAACACGAAGTCAACGTGCATGAGTGTTGGCGTTGGTGTGGAAAAGAAAGAAACCATTAATAATAACGCACGCGTTACCTCTGAAGCATAGTGTTTATTTCATTTAAAGGCTGCCGTTCGAAATTCATTCTCCCTACGTGCACCGTCTACGTGCATCGCGGAAATTTCGGTTCATGTCTGACTCCTTAGTTTTATTGGTCCATCACGCATGGAACATTCAAATACCGGATACAACTCTGAGTTTTATTTCCCAATTGCATTTATGTCCCACTTTTATACGCAATTACGTTTGTTTTTGGATTCTTACCACCACCCACTTACAATCATAACCATTTCGGAAAGACCAACTTCAGTTAAGTTTTGACTAACTTCTGGCTATACCTAAGCTGTCTATACCTCTTCAATGGACTGGCACCTCAAGTCATGCAGCATCTTGACAAAAGAAATTAACGTCTGAACCCTTTCTTCGAACGTGACGAGTTAATGCGCCCACTATGTGGTGACCAGCGCAAACCACCACAAAGAGATGAATCCAGCGCACCTTCTTGAACAACTTTAAACATAACTAACGCAACCTCTGCAAAAACTGACGAATGTGCCGTGGACGTTATTGGGATCTTTAATGTATACTGCAAGTGTGACATACATGTGAAGAAATTAACGAGGTTAAAAAGACAACTTGCCACAGACAGGAACCGAAACCGCGACCTTCGGATTGCGGGCCCGATGGGGTTAATAATTGAGGTACGGCAGTGGTTGTCCTCTCACCGACTATGTCGAGTACTTACGTGCATGCAAACCTGGGAGTGTCAGTATGCATGGCTGGCGGCCATCACGGTAAGTATGGAACAGCTTTTTCTCTGGCAGTAGGCGTCAATCGCTACCGTCCACTATGCTATCCTCGGCTCTATTATCTGCTGAGTTTCATTAAGGTTCTCTCAAACAGGAGAGATAAGCTCCCAAAAACTTCCCTTCATTCACTCATAGCGAGGATCTTGCTCCAGCAGACTTCCTGCCTTGAGGTGCATGGTAAACGAGGGATTAATATTGAGCTGCTAGCTCGTAATATGATCAAGTGACACATGACGACAAAATGCAGTAAAAAGTGTCCCATACTCGCCATAATGGCTGTTATCGGCGTTGACTGACACTCCCACGTATATATATATATTGGGCAGCAGAATGACCGCCGCTGTAGTTCGGCTGGTGGAGTATCGGGTGCGTTAATTGGTGGTCACAGGTTCAGTCTTCACCGGTGGCAAATTGTCGTTTCGCAAGTTTTTTTTTTCGCAACTACAGCACAATAAATATCATTACAGATAAAAAGGGCAGTTGATGTCTTCTAAACCTGCCTGGGCTCAAGTTATCTGCTAGTTTTCGTTATGGTTGTGTCAAACAAACGAAACAAGCTCATGCAAAATTGATTTCTCTATTCAGAAGAGTATTCGTGAATTTATTAGCAAATTCAAGCCTTCGCCAATATCCCATTTAAACAAAAGGTGGCTAAGCAAAAAAAAAAAAATCTGACAGGATGAAGCGTCGCCACGAGAAATATCGAGTTGGGTGAATTGTGAAGTGTAAACATCGACATCAGTTCTTCTACATGAATTTAAACATAACACGAGAAATCTGCTACCTTAGTTAAATTTGATATTCTTAATGCAGAAACATTAAAATTATGGTCACTCTCGTCTAACGCGGTGGTTTGGTGCCGCAGATCCAGGGACCCAAGCGTCGCTTCGTGTACGAAGGACGTGGCAAGTTCGCCACTGCCGACGGACATCAGCTGCCACTCGTCGCTCGACTGGGACTTGTGGCGGCAGGGAGTGGCGTCACCCCGATGCTGCAACTGCTGAGGCACCTGCTCGCCGACAACGTGGACCGGACGACGGTCATGATGATCGACGTTAACTCCAACGAACAGGACATCATCGCGCGCCAGGAACTGGACGATTACGCGAAGAACCACGCTGCCTTCAGGTTGGTATGCACTGAAATACCTCGCGAACCTTGCGGCCATTTTGGTACACGGCTCTAGAGGACATCAGCGAAAATTCCTGCCGAGAGCATGTTGTAGGGGCAGGCTAATACATCATGAAACAGGCCAGGTGGGCGTGCTCTAAGAATCCTCGCTCCCTACACATGATGTAGGTGGAATTGGTTGTTTTACAGAAGACAAAGAATGAAATTAGGCCTCTTTCAAGGCCTTACAAAAGCGCCCCCTGCCCCCCAAAAATTAATCGTGGCTACGAGCTTGAAGGGACACTAAAGTCAAATAACAGTTTACGTCAGAGTGAAAGTTCAATGTATGACATCTAAAACAACAATATTATCAACAACAGAGCCATACTTACCGAGAAATTAAGTTAAATGCACATTAGCAAAAGCGCCGCAGTAGTAGGACATTCTCAAAATGATCCCAAAAACACCAGGTGGATCACCTACAATTAATTACTAGTGATCGATTTAGCTGAACTTAATAAAGAACCTTCCGTGCTTCAAGCGACGCAATAAAATGCTATTTGTTCGTTTCTGTTTGATTTATGAAAAAAAAGAACCACTGGATATTACTAGGAGGAATGGCGCAAATAGTTCAAAAATTCCATTTTTGCGTAGGTACACTGGACAGGTGGTGCGATCTAGCGGGTTGCACTTGAACAACAACAACAAAAAAAAAACTTCAGCAAGTTCACAGCCAATAGTGGGAAACTAATCAATGGCTGTTGTTGCTGCTGCAGCTCCCGCTGCTTTCGGCGTGCTGCTGCTAGCACGGTAAAGCCGGGCAACGTTGTGTACGACGTGAGTCGGTCCGGTCAGTCCGCTTCTCGGGGCGGATAATTTGAAGTGCGCTAATCCGGTGCGGGCCACTAAAATGTGTTGTTATTTAAAAATAGGCCCTTCCTTGGCACAATAGTAACACTACGACGTTGCTGGACCGCTATTTCAACAATCAACGCTGGCTTAATAGCTGCCTTTAGTGTCCCTTTAAGCAAGCTGACGCAATTCCTCAGAGTTGTTGGGAATATGTAACAACGTAGTAATTAGGAAACGTTTTGTGGACAGCTGAGCTTCACATTCAAGAGCAGAACACGATAACGTCCCCATGCACAATGCCTTTTTAAATGCTAGCCTCGCTTCGGTACTCGGTGCATGCTTTAACCCTGCCGTCTGAAAACTGTGGGCGCAACACTGGCAGTTTCAAACTATCCTTGAATGCCTACTGCAAGTAGAGTGCGAAATGCCCGCTACGACGTAATTTCATTTTAGGATTCAGTGAAGGGCCGATTGTGCGACAGTAAACACGCGAACTTATCCAGTTGCTCACTTTGTTTACGTGTTTGCAGCTGATTATGATAAAATACGTCTGAGCACTTAGAGTAAAGGACGGGCTCTTAAAGCACTCGCTCAACGCACCAACTGCTTAAACACTGAATTAAAACACGCCATTAAAACACTCACTGTCCCGCAATATTACGTCCACCATGAAGAATTCTGCTATCATATGATGCTCATATTTTCTTTTTCTTTTTTTTTTTGAAGCAGTTCAAGCTATAGTGTTGGTCTGTGGTAAAACACCTGCTAGCCACACCAACAGCCTGGATTCGAATCACAATCTAACTGAAGATATTTTAGTTTATTTTCGACTTTTATGGTTTTTTCTTCTCCGACGTGATGGTTTTTCGCTCAGAAACACCGACGGAGACGGCAAAATTTCTGCGAAACAATGCTTTGTAATGCCACTGCGTAATAGAAAAAAGTGATGTGTTAGCTACGCAAACAGGCTGATGTTTTGTGTTTGTTTTTTAATATGAAAAAAATAAGGCCCGTTAAATACGGTTCTGTCCTCTTGGACGACAAGATCAATCATTTGAGGTGATTCTTCGGTTTGCTGAAGTAAAAACCTTAGATGCCTCGTCTGGGTGAAAACTGGCCGTTGGTGTTGGCGTCAACACAAGCGTTGAAAAATATTCACACCATCTTCCCAAAGGGAACCCTGATGGGATGCGAAGCAGCAGCGTTGCGCATGAGTGGCATCACGTGTTGAACGATGCTCACGTGGGTGCTGCGGTGGGTGCTGGAAGATTTCCGAGCGGCGTTCGCGGTAGTAGAGCGAGCGGCTGTAGCGGCAGGTGCTGTGGGCAAACAGACGAGGTGACTGCTATGGGTGCTGCGGTTAGTGTGCGGCAGATGAAGGAGAGAGTGACGTCAGCTTGCACTGTGTGGATAGCATGACGTCAACGTGCAGCTACGGCGTGACCTACATGGCACCGCTCCAACAACTGTGACGAGGGGAACGCAGTGCGGCGCGTTCATATGGACGCATGGAGGTACAGCGTTACACAGGCTAGTCAAAGAGGTGTTTCGCATCAAATAATTATGTGATGACGAAATCCGGATGCCAGATATTGCCTGAATTTGGGGCGCCATATGAGAGTCTTGGCAGAACATAGGCTGACTAATCTCAGAGTCATTGCAAAACACTGTGAGGTGCAGATAGCTTGCCATTCTTGCGATTTCGGAGGCAGCGTGAAACCACTGAAGGTGGCCGAGGGGTGAGGTGGTCAGTAAAGATTCCTCAAGTGGTACAATCGATTGAGACAATGACGACGATCGTTCTCGCCTTCGAGTCACCTTTAGTGAACCTAACATGGTCAAGTAAAATTAATAAAACCCACTGACCTGCTTCTAAAGATGTTTTTGAGGCATAAATTAAAAGAAGCACCCTAAAAAAACTATGGGACTACGATGCTTTTATATGACCAAACTAGAATTTTTCTAGAGCTGTTTGGGACCCGCATTTAATGAAATATATTAGGAAGATTGAGATGATTCCACGTTTACTTTATCTTTCATGCTCAACAGAGAGACGGTTCACCAACAACAACCATGGGCACCAGTAGTATTCCTACTTCACAATACCGAACAGTTAGCCGGGTGAAATTCGTATGCTCTAAATTTTTGTAAATGTAACATTAGTCTAGAAACTTCCGTAAGAAATCGTATTTTAAGGCTAACTAGACATACACGCACTTGCAATCTTGAATGCTTCGCACGTACTTACTTTTCATTAACTCCTTTTCTCAGGCCATCTCGAAACGCGTTACCTTTCGACGTATTCCGTGGGAATGAAGATCCTGACTCTGATAACATGTATCTTTGTTTTTAACCATGCAACAGGAGCTCTTGAGATTGTCTCACGTTGCATTTTATTTGCTTTCTCTAGCGGCGATTCACATTTCCATGCTCCTATTTTATTCTATCTATTTGTTATGATGTGTTTCATTACCTTGTCAAGTCTTATTGTTCAACTTTGTTTCCTACTGAAGTTCCACAGTAAATTACTTTTTATAATGCCCCCATACTGGGTCTTTCGACCTCAGTAGGCTGTCAGAGAGTAAATAAAGTTAAAAAAAATTGTAAACGCACATGTTAATTTTGCCTCCCTATATTTTCAGTTAAAAACAATCAATGATTTAACCATGCATTACTCGGCTGCTGGCAAGGTTCAATAAAATATATTACCTAGTGAACATTTACCTAGTGGACTCTGACACGATGGTGCTCTGCTGTGGACCACCCCGTCTCATCACCGAAATATGCGAGCCAGCACTTAGGGACATTGGACACAGGGCCAGTCAAGTGCTCTGCTTCTGAACGTCCGTAGTGCGATCTGCAGTATGGGCTGTGCCTTCGTGATTCACGACTGAAGAAATGTTTATTTGAATGGTCAAGTTTGTTGACTTAAAATCACACACCGCCGTAGGCAATGGTATTAGAAAATAATCTGATGAATTAACCAGTGGTATGAGTTAACTATGAACGACTAACACATTAAATTCTGTACAGAACTGCTCAGCCAATCTTCACGATCTTCAGTTTTGTTCAAGTTGAAAATAATGACATCACAAAGTATAGAAATGAATTTATGACGTCACAATAAGTTGTAACGTGATGTACGCATTTGATGATACTTTTGCATCACTCGTTCCTTACGCCATTGGATGGTCGCACCGACGGTCAAATTATGGGTGTGGTGAGGTACCTAAAGTTTTCGCTTTGATAATCGAAGCTCTGCAATGAACGTTGAACTACCAGCTGGCAAGGAGCAAAAACGCGACCTCAGTCGCGAGAGACACCGCCGACGCATGCGGCGTCCGCTAGCGAGTTTAGTGAAAAATATGCAGCCGATCCACGAGGCGAAATCTCATAATACAGTGAATGTACTTGTACGATTATGAAATGTTCATTAAACGATTACGGCGATGCCAGGTGGCCGCCGGGGCGTGCCAACAGATCACAGTTTCGTCAGTTGTGCCTCGCGTCAGACGCACTTTGCCTGCGTAGCGTCACTGTGCCTAGCGTGCTGTATTATGCAAGACGGCAGACGCACGCATCGCTTTCCAATCTTACCGATGCCGTCTCACTGCGTCCAGGCGTTCCCCGAGCACACTTCGGAATGTAAAAAGTGACGGACGGGCGCACGGACGGACGAGCAGATACACGGATAGATGCACGAATAGACGGACACATGCACGAATGAGCGGACGTGCGGACGGGAACGTTGTCGTTGGAGTAGAACCTTCCATTGCTTCGGAGTGTTCTCGCAGCCGCCATTGCTATTTCCGTTCCGTAACACTATGATTGTACGTACTCACAGAAGGGGGGGGGGGGGGTCTTCGGCTTGCCTCTGTTGCTTCGCAGCAATTTTTTCGACTGCGTCTTCTTCATCTTTAGCCTGTCAGTGGCAAGAAGTGGTATTAACCGAACTTATGGGGCACATGCTCGTTCAAGATAGAGAGAGAGAGGGGGGAGACAGCATTTATTTTTAAAAGAAGTAATTCATCGCTAGTAGTGCCCTTCTTCTAAGGCTCCACTGGCTATAGCGGCTAGGCGGGCCTGACCCAGGGTCGCCAGTTGGCTTCCCAGGGTCCGTTCAGTGAGTCGTGCCTCCCAGGACCACCTGTGTATCGGTTGCGTATGCCCTATGTCGACTGTGGCAGGTCACTCTGGACAGCTGTAGGCACATATCATTTTAATGAGGGTAGTGTTGTGCGTCATTTTTGTTGTACAAGAGGTGAGTAGTGGAATTCACCAAACTTCTGTAGCACATGCTCGCTTACAGTCATAATAGTTCTTTGATATGCAGTGCAGCTACATATATCCATTTGATGACGATATATTCGTGTTTTATTATCTTTTTATGTACCAGTTGTGAGTCGTCAAATTGGCCCAATTTCTCTGGCACATACCTGTTTATGAAAGTAGTTTTTGCGTTCGCTTGACGTCACAGCCCGCTGACCACACAAATTACAGCTGGCTTAAACAACTACGATGTCAAGATGTGGTACAGAGCGTTACGGATTTTTGTGTATGCTCCTTCCTCAAACAACCGCGCCATTCGCAGAGCACGCTTTACAGGCGAACCTAACAGAAAATTGCATCTAAGCCGTCTTACAATATTCATCGTTTGTTGGTTATGAAATTACCTGGCGATAGCAAGGGCCAATTCAGTCTGATTCGTCCGCCGTGTCGTGAAATACTAACAAAAAGGACTCCACAATGAACAGTTTCAGACGCGCAACACTGGTGTTTCAATTTGCACAAAATGGAGAGCCCCCTAGCGGGCAGTTCACGAATGCCAATATGTTGGCTCTCCTGCAAGAGTTCTTTCCTCACGAGCTCTCTCGTTCTCAGACTGATTTTGCCACTCCAAATTGTAAGTTCTTCCCCCGTGTGGTTGAGGCTGTTCGTTGGTAAGACATAAATTCGCGGTTATTGCGCTCTGAATATTTTAATATTGAGATCTGTTGA